CTGGGCTGCTCCGTCCGCTCGCTGGGCTGCTCCGTCCGCTCGCTGGGCTGCTCCGTCCGCTCGCTGGGCTGCTCCGTCCGCACGCTGGGCTGCAGAAAAGCATCTAACTTTTGGGCACGGCAGTCAGTCCGCACCATGTGCTGAGCGTAGATACGCTGGCTGGAGTCTGACACAGAACTGGAGGAGGGTACGACATCTCCACCAGAGGAACCAGAGAGTCCTGGGAGCAGAGTCTGCATCATAGAAACAAGGAGAAACATCATATTTTTACATAGTTAGATCTACCATTACAATGTGTCACACTAGCTGGGCGAGGACAGTACCTGCGTAAAATAAGTACGTGAAGAGTTGGAGCCCAACAGTTTGGCCTCCAGGTGCCTTTGGATGCTCTCAATGATGGCGTCTTCGTGAAGAAAGTGGACCTCATGCTTGGTGGGGTGAACGTTGACGTCGACGTTCTGCGGGGAGATCTCTAGACTGAATTGACATGACAGAGGGAAGTGAGGGAACGGAGAGTCACGCTTAGCCACATGCTCAGTACCTCTTAAGAGCTTGAAAGCCAAGCTAACTCTGTGTTACCTGAGGTAGAGGAAAGGGTGTGTGTTCTTGGGAAGGTAGGCAGCATAGACCGTCTCTATGGCTTTTTTCAGAGCGCTGGACTCTACCAAACGGTCTGTAATACCAGGAATAAACACACACTCACAGTTAGTGCAGTAACATACACAGGGAGTGACATGCAAACAGATCTCCCACCTGACCTCGTCTGTGATACGTACGGTTAATAAAGAGCAAAAAGATGCACTTCTTGACTGAGTAGTTGGCATTGGAGATGTAACCCTTCACCTTGAAGCTCAGTTTCTGATCTTCACAGCCCACTTCGATCAGCTCTCTGTTCACAGAGCACAGCACACACTCATAATCAGTTCTTTGTGGTGATGCTTTGTTCTAGGTTTAATGTATTCTCGTTTTTTCTAAAACCAGTGTTTGTTGGCCACAATGTCAGGCTGCTCCCTGTAATGACATGCTGATAATATAAATATGGAGGTCAGAATGGCACCACAAGGGAGGTAAAGAAACAAGGCAGAGGCTGCAGTCTTACATGACTGGGTAATACCTTTGGAAGAACTACTCAGAGTCTTCAAACTACTCATAGCCCTCATCCAGACGCAACAGCAGAACATCTGTGTCCCACAACCCAAATTACAAGAACAATGGAGATTAACTAGGCAAGTTAATCTGTGTCTGCCATGGGGGGACCACAACAACCAACTGGACAGCTAATACATTTACTTTCCATACTTCGCTCAATATATAAATAGAACCAGGGCAATGGGCAAAGGCGAGGGGGGCAGCACCTGCTCACCGTGTTGCCAAACACGGACCGTATGTTGTCCACCGTTGAGGCGTTGAGCAGCGTCCTCACATCTGCCATGGTCTCCCCTTGCTGACAGGGTACAGATTCAGAGTCACCATCAGAATTAACCCCAACTTCCTCCTCTACTAAACAGGAGGTTCCCCGCTCCATATAATTCAGTACACATACCTTTTTAACTGAAAAGCTCTTTCCTGAATTGTGAATAGCATACCTGTAAAACATTTCAAGACCTTAGCATTAGTTTATCAAGTATTTTATTAATTAGGCTTCAAAGTTTCACATGCGAGGCTCTAGAAACTTCTGCAGCACCGCAGCTGGGAGATGGCCTACACCGACTGGTAACACACACGCCACACCACCCCCTCACCTGCTCAGCACCTCCACAATCTTGCTGTACTCCTCACTTGGACTCCTTAAGGCCTTCCTGCGCGTGGACACATTGTAGAACAGATCTTCTACCTGCAGAGGTATATGTACTTCCTGTACATCAGCAGGTAGCAGAATGATGTTCTCCAATCCTTCATCACTTCCCCAAACATTCCTCACTAGTCCCGCACCCAATGAAGGAAGCCCTCAACAGCTTCATTTATATGTGACAGCTATTCTATCATAATGCAAATGAATGACCAGGATATTTCTCAGTCTTCTGTCATCGGCCACAATAGTAAAAGATGAATAATCAATCTGTTCAGTCGGTACTACAGACGCACAGTATCACAACAATTGATATAATATTCTGTCACATTGCAAAAGTACAATAATTAGTGTTGTTGCTAATTTATGTCTATAAATTGTCTGACAGTGGTATAACTGCAATACACTGTTCAAAACCCTGTAAAACAAAGAAAACAGGAGTCTTGCATCAGAAGAAGCAGTGCTCACAAATTACACTCAGAGACAAAAAAAGTTAAGCACCCAGATGTAATGGTCTGATTTGGATGTAATTTGGTAAACGTGCGGACCAGCGATGGGTATGTAAATGATTTGATTTGCAAGGAGCTGGCATGTCTAGTCACCAGATACAGAGGATGCCTCATAGACGCATTAGACAGCATTACCAGCACTTGAGTTTGATAGGGGTCGCAATATGGGTTTGCATGAGGTCTGGTGGTCGTATTGTGCAACTGCCCAGCATGTGGGGCATGCAGATGTCACAGTCGCCTGATCTTGGAACCAATAGGCACGTAAGGGCACCCCCACACGTCATGAAGGTTCTGGTCGCCAAAGACAGACCACACCAAAGGAGGATCATTGTATTGTGCGCCAAACATTATAGAACCCATGTCATCTGCGCTTGCCATCCGGACACAGGTAGTGGACTCTTTACAACACCTCATGTCATCCCACACCGTGTCTCGATGACTGGCATCAGCTGGACTACGGGTTCACCGTCCCATGCATAGGACTCCATCTGGGTGCTTAACAAACTTAAGTGACACCACATAGCAATTTTTTCCCCTCGGCAAACCTGTGCCCTCCATGGCACCTACAGTGATCTGGGTCCCCTGATTTCCTGCACAGGGCTTGGGAGGTGCCTTTAGCTTCCCATCGCTGTAACTGGCTCTGAGGGGGGAGAGAGAACACTGAGGCTGGCAGCTGTTGGCACAGACCGCCAGCTACCCTGGCCTTACGTTAAACACTTCCTCACCTGTAGGCACACTTCCCATCAGCTGTTTTCGTTGTTATGGTCACATGAGCTACATGGCTTATACTGGCTAAGGCCTGCAAAGCACATATAAGAGCAATTTCAAAAGCTCATTCCAAGTTATAACTAACATTAAGCAACATAGATGAGAGCTATAACAAAACAACCATGACAATCGCTTTTGTAGTTCAGATGAAGTGGTTTAAGAAAGAAATATTAAGTTGGATGACTAAAAACAAAAAAAAAATTACAGCTGAATGCAGATTGGCAGCCATTTTCATTGTTAGCAGGTCGTTATATTGAAACAGTAGTAACAAAGTACACAATAACAATAGAAATTTAAGCATCTTATTTTGGCCTGTGACTGTACACATATGTGAAGACTGATGAAGCAAAGTCTGTATAACACACACTGTGCTATGACACTAATACACAAGTGCTCTCCTATGACACCGACCTCCCCTCTGAATCCATAGGTGCTGATGGCTGTGAGGTCTTCAAACTTCTGAAGTTTACTTGTTGTAAACCTCTCACATACTATTTCCATGTCCTCTTTCTACAGTGCAGGCATACAGAACATCACAACAACATATGTTAGGCAGCACTGTCATGTGGTACTTTATTGCACTACGTAAGAATTAAATGCAGACTGCTCGGCTCTCTCACCCTGATACCTGTCCCATTGTCCTGAATCTGGATAAGCTTCAGTCCTCCTTCCTTCACAGTCACCTGAATACTGGTGGACTTCGCATCTAAACTGTAGGTAAGGTTTTTTTAAAGCATGATTTGTAATAACACTATCCACGTTAAGCAGGTATATGGGAACGCTTGTAAACAATGTTTTACAAAAGATATGATGGAAAGGGGTTAAATTATAAAGTCTGCTTCGTACTCGCTTCGTACTTCACTTCGTCCACCCTAAGAGTGGTCAGAATTATTGTTTCATAAAAGTATTTAATTGGGATAAATTATAATATATATTGCAAATGGGAGGATAAAATGCCGTATAAAACTTCAATACAGCTAGCTGTTCAATGAGAATTCAGAATACCGAAAAAATTAAATTATTTACGTGTACGGCATTTATACCTACATCATCGAATGATTACCAGAGAAATATCACTATTAGCCGTTAGCCAAGTAGCTCAGTTTCTTACCAGTTTTCTATCATTTCTTTAATAGCATTGGCGGGTCGCTGAATGACTTCACCGGCCGCAATGCGATTCACCACGGTTTCGTCTAGCCTTCGGATAACGCCAGCCATATTTCGGGTGGACCGGTCCAGAGAAGCAAGGAGCTGCGGTACCCACGCCTAGCCAGCTAATTCAGGCTAATTCGCCCGCCGGTACGCAACCCGCCGCGCAGCCATGGCTGACAGCGCGCGCCAGTCCCGCCCACCGCGAGGTACAAGCGAGCGGGGCGCGTGTCCGTACCCCAGGTGCCGCCCCATTGGCTGCAGTCTTTCTGTTTCTTAACCCATTGAAGCCCATCGTTCGGTGCAACGTATGGTATGTATGGTACAGCATATGTAATTGCTACTATAGCACACTAATATAATATTACTAATACTAATATACTTACATATGCTTATACTCGGTGGATGGACAGATGGATACTACTTTACTCAATTTTTGCTTTCAAACTGTGTGTGGCTCCACAGGTTACAATGCTGTGCTTGTGACTAAAGAGTCACCAATTCTTATTCAGTGGTTAGCAGAGTAATTTCATTGTCGGACACTAGAGAAATGCTCTTATATAAATATATCCCAATTGCTCCAGGTACTGCATGATCCTGCTTTCAATTGTATTGTATTTTGAATAAATACCAAGCATCTAAAACCAGTAATCTATGCTTTAGATGTAATTCAGCCTGCTCCTTCTGGAACCAAAAGACCATTAACAAAAGGCGATTTTTGTAAGTTGATGTTCATATAAAGACAGAAAAAGAAATACAGTGGTACCTCGGTTCTCGAACTCACTAGAACTCGAATTTCTTGAAAGTCGAACAAATTCAGATGCGATCAACATGCAAAATCTATTAAGAAAAAAACAAGTCCAATACTGTAAGCTGGAATTAAACGCAAAAATTGAAAAATCTAATGTTTTTTGTAATATATACCACATCCAAGAATGTATGGATTGTGTCATGAGAACCTTAATGATTGAAATACTGTTGTATATTATAATGTAGTGGTTCTGATGATGATTGATCTGAGTACAGACAATAATTATAGGCAATAATAAGTCAGGTTATACATTTAGGGGAAAAAAATATTTTATTGACAAGTTAAAAAAACACCAACAATCATACAAAAAAATCAGTTCTCAATGAAAAAGGTTTTATATAAAATCTTTCGTGTACAAAGATCAGGTCCTTCGGCTTTCGGCATACATGGCTTGGTTGCAACTAATTTTTGATGCAACTAGATGCTAAGCTGATTGATCCTACCTATCAGTTTCAGGCTATAGATTTTCAAAGAAAATTCTTCTATCAATATCCTTTGGTTGTTCATGTTAACCCTAAAACAGTAACATAAATAACAAATAAAAATATTCTGTTCTCCTGGTTTAAGACAGAGTAACAGAGTAAGGTCATTTCCATTTCCTCTGACATCAGGGAACACATGTCTAGTGGAAGGTCCCCAACCTATAATGTCCATAACATAACAAATGAAAACTAAAGAATAAGTTATACATTGCCTGCAATGTAAATGACTGGCACTAGTTCAAAGTTAGTTTAGTTTATTTCTATAGCACATTTCAGACAACCAGAGTTGACACAAAGTGCTGTACAAACCAGAATAGCAAAGAATCACATCATGACACTAGATGGCATAACACACTAGATTTCTGAGAGCGAGGTGCGATGGAGATTTGAGTGCCCCGGTGAATGGCTCATCTATGCTAGGTATCGGGTACTGCACACCTCTGAGCAGAATGGACTGTCTGGTCACACAGCATGCAGAAGGTACAGGTAGCATAACATATTGGAGCATTCCATCGGCAAGCAAACCATGGGGGATTTCTTTACCTTAATCAGTTGAATGTGACGAAAACCACTAGTCCATCAACTCATCTTCTAACCACTCATCCTGATCAAGGACATAGGGTGAAAAAAACAGTCAGTCAATCTGATTATAAAGCTGCATCTCTCCTGGGCGTTCCTTCATTAAGTCAGTGGTAATTTTCCTAGATCCCCCCTCTGCCTGGGCTGCTGTTCCCACCAATGAGAAGCAAGGATGCCCTCCTCATAGTCACCCTCTCCTTCAAATTCCTTGTCAGAATTGTCCCGGTCCCATCCGGGTACACTTTGCTGCGTGACCTCATCTATGTATGTCTGGATGGACGGACACACACACAAAGGAACAGCCATTAGCTAAGTACATGTATAAAGTAAATCTACAGTGCCTGAAAGACTTAGCATCAGAGACAAAACCGATGAACTCAGCAGGACAATGTCAGTATCGGACACCATTTCTGAAGCCTGATGGACAGAATCTAAGACACCGAACAGAACCATGTGACAGTCTGTCAGGAAGCCAACTTTGCATGATGTATATCAAATTACTTCTTATATAAAAAGAAACAGCAGTGAATGTGATTTGGAACAGACAGTTGTGGTCCCTCCTGCATGTCCATAGTGGTGCCTACGGGCCACAGGCAGGTCTGAGAGAAGGACACTGTCCTATATGACGGATGAAAGGAGAAACCAGCTGACAGCACGCAAACCAGAGAGGCACCAGCTATCAACGACAGAGGGGGGGAGAACACAGCTGGAGTAAATCCTCGGTATGAACTTTTATTTCTCCTACCAACAAATACACAGCAATATTTCACAGTTATAAACTTTTCACAAACACAATGAATACTTAGTCAGCCTGCACTCTTCTAGGGTAAAACAGCAACGTCTGTTCCTGAAACTGACTGCAAAAACTAATTATGAAAAATAAATAGGTAAATAAATTTTGTTCAGCTTTTACTCATCCTAAAAATGTCTGATTTATCACAAATTCAAAGGAACAATGTACTTCTATTACTATGGACACGTTTAGCAAACTGCAGGCAGATGAAAGTCCATGTATGTATGTAGGTAGGATTCAACAGATTTTATCCAAAAACAAAAGCACCAAACATGGCAGTCTGGCCTGACCAGCACCAGCCCAAGGGTATGGGGGACTAGGTCTTACCTTCGGCATGGATCTTCAAGGCATCATAGATGGCGACAAAAACCGAAACCATGACAAATTCACAGTGTAGACAGGTTAGCAAAAACAGCACCGAAAATAATGACTAGTCGCATGAAACTGGAACCGATTTATGGATGAAAATTCCATGTGATGGTACAAAATTCACATTGAGTAATTACAATGTAACAATGTGGAATTCCAGATTCCACACACAAAACACAACAGGTCAAAAGCGGTCATTTCCTTTCATGCGATTGCCGCTTTGTGCTGGGTAACAGCCACATTGCTTGCTCTTCCTGGCATGAATGATACAGAATCATAGATAACACAGACTTCACTGTGCATTTTAATGTCATGAAGAGAGCTGGATAAGCGATATCTCCGAGGAAGTCTCAGCCTGAGTCTTTAGGTCAGAGGCTCTATTGATGAAGTACCATTCCTTTGAAAAGGGTCGACAATAACAATCAGTTGTCGATGACGACCAGTGAAGGAAGACTTGAAAAACAACAAAAGCACAGTGGTGTGAAGAAGCATATACAAATAAATCAAGATAAAAGGAAGGATGGCTTTTATGATAAGACAACACTGGAGGATGCAAATGTAAGCTACCCTCCAACTGCCAACAAGGCAAGCAGAAATCAGAGTGCTGGGTGTGTGTTTGTGGTAGACTTGTCTCTAGCTACTATCATCTGCCTCCAGAAGATCATCAAGAAACGTCAGCACCTCCATCTGGAATAGGGACAAAGCACAGAAACACAGGACAAAGTATGTATGCAAGGCACAATCAGATGATTGCAAGTATGGCCCTCTTTATCCATATCTTACAACTGAATGTGTGAGGAATGTGTAAAATACATGGAAAGAACATGGAAAGAATGCAGACGGAATGTGAAAGGCACGGGTAAGGAATCTGTAAAAAGGACAATTACAGAATGGCAAAGAGAGGAGATACGGACTGCCGGATTCTAATCAAGTATTTCTCTCTGCTCTAAAGAGAAACACCGAGTAAATAACAGCTTCAATCCCCCCATTAAATGTTCTGGGTGAAGAGACCAATCACATTAAAACTGCAGATGTGATTCAGTGTCTCTAAGGTAGAACCTATACATGAGGGCGTCCTGTGTACAGACTCTACTGAAAGCTGATCTTTGTTAAGACATTTCAACCAAATGTCAGATACAGCTTTCAGCTTAATCAAAGAAGTTTCTAATGTGAAGAAACAATTGTCTTCTTTAAAATCTGAAAGAACTATTCTAGAGTTGGTTTTGTGGCATCTGAACTGTGAATCATAGAGACCTGCAGCCAAGATACCAGTGGGGTGTACTAGGATTCGAGCTTCTATGCGCAGTTAACTCAAAGTGGCTGGGATGATTAACTGTGATTGCCCGTATCAGCAAACAGTACTACGATGGTGGTTATCAACTCAGTAAATTGAGTTGATAGGGACCGGCACGGAATATGGGTATGGGGATAAAAACTGAAGGGACCGGCACGGAATATGGGTATGGGGATAAAAACTGAAGGGACCGGCACCGAATATGGGTATGGGGATAAAAACTGAAGGGACCGGCACCGAATATGGGTATGGGGATAAAAACTGAAGGGACCGGCACCGAATATGGGTATGGGGATAAAAACTGAAGGGACCGGCACCGAATATGGGTATGGGGATAAAAACTGAAGGGACCGGCACCGAATATACTGACATCTGAAGGAGATAAGAGAAGCAAACAGGCTAAAAACTAACTTTGCAAACTGAAATGAAAAAGGATCACACACTATCTGATACGAAGACAGTCAAATAGACCAACAGCCAAATTACTGTAAATATTAAAGCATTGCTGCCTTTTCATCTCGACCCTCATATGCATGTGAAATGACATCTGTAGACGGACATGGCAGGTAAGGGCTTCCTACCTCATCATCTGCCTGCAGGTGCTGCTGTGAAAACTCCAGCATCTCTAGTTGCATGTTGGTCTGGTTAAAATATCGCACAGCCTCCTGGAAAAGCACAGACAGCAACGTCAGCCATAAACCGGGGGATCATGAAGGACCATCCTTCTTCTATCCTGCATCCTTGGGCTCCCAACTGGCCTGTATCAGGATGTTGTCACTGATGTTTTGCAACTTCTCAGGACCACAGGTAGTACTGTGGTAAAATAAGTGGGGTCAAATAAAAAGATGTGTACCTGATATCTGTTACCACAGCGATGGGTTATATCCACTGTGGATACAACACCATTGTGTAAGTACAGCGTTAAATGCTGCCCTCTGCTGGCAAAGAGCTAAACTATACTCAGCATGCAGCATTTGTGTGTGTTGATTACTGGGTTCATAAGGGAAGAAAAAGAAAAAGAATTGCTATGGTAACAGGAGAGTTTCAATCAATCAACTGATGCAAGTCCTTAATTGACGAGATGACAAGGCATCAGCATCCAATCCAGTAGAGAAAATGCACCACCAAAGAGGCAAGGGAAGTTTATTTATATAGTACTATTCCGACGCAAGGCAATTCAAAGAGCTTTACAAAGACAGAGAACAGACTCACAGCTCTGGGTAAGAAGTCCTCCTCGGAGAGACCCCACTTGTCCTTGTGGTACTGATAGTAGACAATATTGTTCTTCATGACCTCATCACTGGGGTCCAGCAGTATGTAGCTGGCTGCACAGGGTACAGCGTTCTTCAGATCATTCACTGCACACAGAAACATGGCTGGAAGGTCAGGGTTCAACAGGCTAAAAATTCATACTTCTTTATATGACTGCAAGCCGGACCTCGTGAAAAGATTGAGTGGTGATCCACCCACCCATTATAAACTGATGATTAAAATAAGCTGACTGACTTTGTCCACAGCTACTTTCTAACTGGGAGGACAACTTTACACACCTATAAACACTGCAGGAACCTGTAGCACTGTCAGCATACAGCCATAGATCAGACTGAGCTTAATACATTTACCTACAGCTGGGTCTGGGGTCATCAAGAGGCAAATGTGGGTTTTGCTGAAATGAGAATGATCTTTCGATATGCAGAGTGTGTAACTGTGTATAAACATATTTTTACTTTTATTAAGATTAGTTGTAGGGTACTTTGTAACTGCTTCATTTGCAAAAATAAAGATTAACCTCTGTGTTCGGAGAACCAAACTCAGATTAAAAGGATGATGTTTTGTATGAAAACTAGGTATGTTGCTGAATGATTAAGATAAAGGCATGTGGACAGGCGAGTCATCACCATGGTGACCATCTTTTGGTGCTTTTCCACTGCTACAAAGAACTGAGCCGCACCTGAGCCGTACCATGAACTGATGGTTTTCCATTGTAAATTATCTGAACCGTACCCGTGCTGACATGGCCCTGCTTACGAGCAGCGCTGAAAGCGGAACCAAACCTAGCTGATTGTGACACCACCATCTGATACTGGTTCTCTGTGTCGATATGCGTGGATTGTCTGAAGGAAAAGGGTATATTCTGTATTTTATTCATTCTTAGTAGTATTGCACATGTATTGAACATATATTGATGCTTTCCTGATAACTCAGAACTTGAAAATTTCCAACCCACTACTTAAAAAAGTACTAGAAAACAGCTGAACGGAATGAATTTGTAATGCTAATTTTTGCAAGAGAATGCTAATTCCACTAGCGTTTGATGCTAACATAAGATGGTGATTCCCTCAGACTTTTTAGCAGAAATTAGCACATAGTAAATGATAATGTGCACTGTGTGACCAGTAAATAAGCATCTTCTGCTGTGGAAAACCAAAGTGAGCGGGAACCGCGCTGTAGCACACTCAGGTACTATGGCTCAGGTACGGCTCGGTTCCTGTATACCAGTGGAAAAACGCCAGTTGATCCCAAGGTCTTATTTGGCATGTAGGCCTCCTGCTGCGCTGCTTGGCATCAGACTGGATTGTAACACTTACGCTTATAATAAGCAAACTGGAGGTAGTGGTACATGGTGGCAACAAACTTGTCTACGACGAAGCCGCCTACGATGGGTGTGAGCCGACTCTCGCACCTGACCTTTCTCTCCAAAACCTCTGTGTAGTGATCTAAAAAGGGAAGAGAGAAACAGCCAATGAGAACGCCTGCATGTCCATCCACATGTCCCACTCACCAACTGCCAGTGGGCAGCTAATAAGGTCCCAGACATATTAACCCCTGCAGAGTAACTCTGACACAAATATCATCTCATCTCCACACTGCATTTACAGATGAGGGCCATGGATACGCTGACAGATTCAAGGGCGCTTGACAGGGGCCCTTCAATATGTATGACAAAGGAAAATTGGGCAACGGGGCCCAAGGTGACATTTTGATAGGGGTCCTACACTTCTGGTCATGGTGGTAGTATGGGAACATCTATGGCTCCCAAGACATTCCCACCCAGCTGGTAGGAATAATTTCCAGTGTATCCCAGATTTCTCCTGTTCCAAACTCCCAGTTGACTTCTCTGACTGCAAAGAAGCAGTGGCTCCATTTTGAAGACCCTGCAGAGCTCAGAGCCCAGCAATCATGCAGAGAAACGTCATTTAGGTCGCTTGTACTCTGAAACCGTGTTCTTTCAATCATTACCCACAGCTCATAAGCAGAGGTTAGAGAAAGATATAGATTGTTACATTTCTGATATCTGCAATCTTCCACAGCACAGATTTAAAAATAAAAAATACTGTCTTAGAGAAGTAAAGGTCATGGAAGGCGAGATACCTGCTATGGATGGATAGAAGTCCTTGAAATCCTGGATTTCTCTGGAGCTCTCAGCGGCAGCTAGGCAGTCGTCATAAGCCGTGAAGAAGTCTCGCAGGGCAAGCTCCATGTCCACCACTGAGGTGCGGAAGATGCCGGCATTGAACGCTCTCACTGCTCTGATAAATAGTGCCTACAAATCCAACAAACACAAGCTCAGTTAGACAAAACTCTGTGATATTTGCTCAGAACCACCACCGAAAGGAGAGGATCCCTCAACACTGACCCGAAACCAGCATCCTTAAAGAAACCACTACCTCACACAGCAAAGTAGTGTAATAAGCAGGAATTGCAAGAGGTTTTAAAGACTTAAATGAGATGGCCTTTGATGTGTTATTCACACACTGCAATGACGAAGAGTCATTTTCTGACAATCAATACCTCGAAATAAGGATATTGCACGCATTGATAACCTTTTTTAAACAAGTTTTTGAATTCCTGACAAAACCATACATTACACAATCACATCCACTGGACTATCCTACTATTTCACTAATTTAGCCTATTTCCCTTGAGATTTATGAGATAAAATGTAATAAAAAGATAAACAATCTCTCTATATGAGATCAGAGATCACTAAGATAGTAAGTTTGTAGATATCCGCTTACCTCATAAGATTTAGCTTCTAGGTCTTTAAGGTGGTCCTCTGCTCCTGGAAGGCTTTTGTAATAGTCCATGTTCCTCTTCATCATCTCATCATCTGGGTGCTTCAGCATGAAGGTATGTGCCGCAGCTACAGCCTTTGCCAGGTTGTTGGACTAAAGTCAAAACATGTACAACAGGTCACAACAAGTCTCCACTTGGGGGGGTTACTGCCGCCCAGTCGAATGGGTCGAAATTGCAATTAATTGGCAAGTCCAGCACTGCACGTGCCTTTGCATAAGCGGTCTTTTGGTTCCCTATCGGTTAACAAAAAATAGTACGTTACGTGTGCATCAAATACGTGCGTTAACGCGTCTAGTAAGCAGCATGCAACCCCCAAGCGTAAACATCAAACCTATGCCAGAACACATTGAACACCAGGTAGTTAATATCTGTCCGCAAGCCATAATCCTTATCAGCAATCAATTGCACCTATCTAGTCAGTTCAGAACATCCTACATCTTCCTCCATCAAAACGATGTTTAAAGGTAATTTAAGTTTTTATCATGTCAATTAAATTAGTTCTGCACTTTCGTCAACAGGTCAGACCGCTGTAACTATTAGATATACTGACACACATATTGTTCCTGAAGACCGTGTTAAAAGTTATTTTTTATGTACCGGAAACACCCAGGTCCGACTTACTTTGAAGAAGGCGAACTGAAGATACTTGTAGGGCTCCCGGTTCTCGAATTCCTCCAGTGTCTCTCGGCTGGGCATGGTCTGTCTGAAAGCAGGCAAGCCGTGCTTGCACCTCTTCAGACACTGGGCCCTTTTCATGATATTCCCGAATGCATGGAGCTCCGGAAACTCCTCAAACTTCTCTTCATTGTCTAATCGTACAGAGCTACAGTTCAGATTGCAGAAAGCCTCACTGTCTTTAAATAGTCGGTACAGTCTCAAGCTGACTTCCAAATATTCCACGCATTCTTGCCAGTTTTCTTTAGTGTATTGATCTAGTGCATATTTGTAAGCGGATTCAAGTGGCATAAGTTCGTTGCTTGGAAAACTTCGGAAACTATACGTCTCGTATTGCGCATCAGCACAAAAGGTGAACAAGCAGAGAAGCGTCCCGAAAGTTAAATGAGACATTCGTGCCATTTCAGATCCTTCATACAGACATTCCCCAGCCAGAACAACTACTCAAACTGCTAGCAGATTCTGCGCGACTACGGGGCGGGGAAAAGGGGCTTGTGACTGGGCAAACCCGGTACACTGCAGCGGAAATGGCCGGATTGCGTGGATTTAAATTATACCGTCCAATTTTATAATAGTAACCTTACTGTAAAAGCACCACGATGGGTCCAGTTAGTCTCTTTTGAACTGTTTATATGAGCATTTTGTTGCCTAAACCGGTCTAACGATTGATTGTACAGACTTGCCAAAAAGCAGCTGAACAAACTTCAAAACTGCAGCCACACAGCACTACACCTAAGGCTATGGAAAAAATATTGTATGCATCACCATTTATGCATAATCACGATGGGTTATAAATGACGGCAATCGGTACAAAAGCATACTCTGAAGAAGTTGGATAAACTGTATATTTCTTCATTTTGTTATACATTTCGTCCCCAGAAAACTGCGCACTTATTTAGAATAAGTTTGGAGTGGTACAATGAACGTCTTCCATCTCATATTACGCATGCATCAAAAACATAGTAGGCCTATCTGTTACTCATGAATATTGGTATAATATTGATATTTCTACGAGGCTTTTAATTATAACTTTTATAGCGCAACTAATGTCATTTTAGATTATGTTTGCTTTGATTAATTTTACAGACTCCTTGCGACTTCCAGAAGACTTCTGGTTGCATTTCAAAGTCGTCAACCAGCATGCCACCTATGCATAATAATAAACTTCTCAGACGAGAGCCGCAGGCGCGTTGATTGCCGACTGCACCGGAATGCGCTCCGAACTGCAGCCAGGCTCCTCGTATGCTAAGACCCTCGAAGTGCCACGTATGAAGCCAGTCCCACTCTCTTCTAGTCTTTGATCACATTTCAACTCTGTCTAGAAGCGGAAGGAGCGAGTTCGGCTTTCCGTCGGCATCCACATACATTGCATATCTGTGCGGGATTCCCTAACGCCAAAGCGGTTTTCGCGTTTCGTATCTGCGGAGAAGATTGTGGCCCAGGCAAGAATCAATCGAGGGTGTAACGCGTATCGGTATATCTCAGACCGACAGATTGTTCAGATTAACATTTACCCAGTTAAAATGAGAGAGATATGGCCCAGCGTACTTTATTTAGCACAGTTGATAAGCACTGTTGCTTGCAACGCACCAACGGTGCCGTTAGATGACATCGTGATAGAAAAGACTTTCGTCCCGGAGCACTGCGACAGAGCTGTGAAAGCCGGGGACTTCGTCAGGTACCATTACATCGGCATGTTTCCCGACGGGAAAAAGTTCGACTCCAGGTAAGCAGTCCATCGGGGAGGGCCACGCTGTTTCACGGCGGTACAGGGGCGGCAGCCAGCCACGCAGGCAGAAGGCAATCGCTTAAAGAGAAAACGGAGTAGTGTACTAAGCAGGAATTTCGAGATATTTTACAGACAAACGAGATGGGTTTTGATGTGTTATTCACACTGCAATGACGAAGAGTCTTGTTCGGAAAATCAGTATCTTGAAATAGGGGCATTGCACACATCGACAACTTGCCTTTTTAATTAAGTTATTGAAGTCCTTAGACTTAGAAACCACGATGACTGCATTTAATTATTTTGATATTCAGCTTTAGGGACATCCGAGTTAATTCAGTTTTTAGTTCTGATCGTAAAGTAGACCCGCAGAGTCCGGGTTATCAGCTATTACATAGACAAAGTTGTCTACTTTTAGATCCGCTATTTTGGGTTTTGTTCATGAGCGTTCGTGCCCCTAACATCTGGACATTACCGTGAAACCTTGGATTTTTAATGTACGGACGAATTACCATATTAAAGACAGTAATGTGATGGCATATGGTCCAAAATAACAAATATAAAGTAAACCCCCCTTAGAAAGAAGCCCATGTGATTTGACCACCATTTGATTCACTAAAAAAAAGAAACACCAATTAAAACAAACAAAACTTTTTTCATCATGTCTTTATTGAACTCATTGGTCCATCATTCATTTGGCATGTTAGGTGAAGGGGCTGATGGGTGAGGTCAAAGGTCCATCTTAGTCATGTGATCAACTCTGACTCCTGCCTTTTGTCCCACAGCTATGACAAAGGCTCAACCTACAATGTGTTTGTGGGCAGAAGGCAGTTGATTGAGGGCATGGACAAGGCTCTTCTGGACATGTGTGTGAACGAGAGGCGTCTGGTCAAGATTCCACCACAGTTGGCCTATGGAAAGGATGGATATGGTAACCACATGCACCATGAAAAGTTTCAGGCAATTCCAGTTACAAAAGCTCTTTCCCCCACAACTGTCTAGCACTAGTTTCTGGGAGCTTAACCTAGCCGTACTTTTACTTCAGAGCTCTATTCATGTTATGCGTTATCTGCCTCACATGTATGTCATTTTGGACATAAACGGCTGCCAATTACGCATGTATGTATAAATGTATACTATATCAGGGTTGCTAACTTTGGTCAGCTGACTGGAGTCAGATTTTCAATTTGAGACAAGTCTGCACACAAATTTACATGCATGTAACAGTTTTATTACCTTGTAATTGGTCTGTATTGTTTGCAAACTACTCCAACGCTTTTGATATACCCTGTAGCTAATTCTAGGTTTATAATGGAATAATTTACATTTGCCGTAAGATTTCTTCTGTGAGAGTCTGAAAGTGTGTGTGTGTGTGTGTGTGTGTCAGACCAGACGCGTGAGAGTTGGCATCCCTGGCTGTGTTCTACCTGTGCAGCTGTCTGGAGGACCCTTATTGGCCGGGAATTATGTAATTGTGATTGGTGCTGCTCCGGTGTGCGATAATAGATTTCCCTGGCAGGGAAATCTGATTGGCTGAGCCCTCAGAGATACGTTGGCCCATAAGTTATTGATAGTTGATTTTCCCCTTTCCACAGGTGACATCATCCCACCTGACTCTGTGTTGCATTTTGATGTGCTGCTGCTGGATATCTGGAATCCGCAGGACCAGGTCGAGGTGAAGACCAACTACAAGCCTGAGACGTGTACCCGGACTGTAGATGTGTCCGACTTTGTGCGGTACCACTACAATGGCACACTGCTGGACGGTACACTCTTTGACTCTAGGTAAGAGTGGCACCCTCATTGGCTTTGGCCAGGGGGATTTTTCCAGAATGCTGCCAATGTGAAGGGAGGTGTTCTGGCTGAGGGAGGCTGAACTACTTCAGCTTCTCATTATCAGATCAATATGTAGATTTTGTTTTGAGCACAGAATAAGACGTTTACAACAACAGTATGCTGAAGCATTCTATAGACTTCACCTCTCACTTCACCCATCTGTCCTCCAGCCACACGCGTCTGCGTACGTATGACACCTACGTGGGCATTGGTTGGCTCATTGCCGGCATGGACAAGGGACTGCTGGGTATGTGCGTGGGTGAGAAGCGCGTGATCACCATGCCGCCTTTCCTGGGCTATGGCGAGAATGGAGATGGTAAGTGGGGCCAGGATTTGTGCTTTTGTTGACTCGTGGGTATAGTTGTTTAACAAGTGATATACAGAGATTCCGGCTGTTACTGCTAATAGGTCATGGGAAATGGGCCTGTACAGGAATAAAGGATTTCTTTTTTGATTTGGACAACATACAATATAGTAGTAAATAGTGATGGCACCTNGTGTGTGTGTGTGTCAGACCAGACGCGTGAGAGTTGGCATCCCTGGCTGTGTTCTACCTGTGCAGCTGTCTGGAGGACCCTTATTGGCCGGGAATTATGTAATTGTGATTGGTGCTGCTCCGGTGTGCGATAATAGATTTCCCTGGCAGGGAAATCTGATTGGCTGAGCCCTCAGAGATACGTTGGCCCATAAGTTATTGATAGTTGATTTTCCCCTTTCCACAGGTGACATCATCCCACCTGACTCTGTGTTGCATTTTGATGTGCTGCTGCTGGATATCTGGAATCCGCAGGACCAGGTCGAGGTGAAGACCAACTACAAGCCTGAGACGTGTACCCGGACTGTAGATGTGTCCGACTTTGTGCGGTACCACTACAATGGCACACTGCTGGACGGTACACTCTTTGACTCTAGGTAAGAGTGGCACCCTCATTGGCTTTGGCCAGGGGGATTTTTCCAGAATGCTGCCAATGTGAAGGGAGGTGTTCTGGCTGAGGAAGGCTGAACTACTTCAGCTTCTCATTATCAGATCAATATGTAGATTTTGTTTTGAGCACAGAATAAGACGTTTACAACAACAGTATGCTGAAGCATTCTATAGACTTCACCTCTCACTCCACCCATCTGTCCTCCAGCCACACGCGTCTGCGTACGTATGACACCTACGTGGGCATTGGTTGGCTCATTGCCGGCATGGACAAGGGACTGCTGGGAATGTGCGTGGGTGAGAAGCGCGTGATCACCATGCCGCCTTTCCTGGGCTATGGCGAGAATGGAGATGGTAAGTGGGGCCAGGATTTGTGCTTTTGTTGACTCGTGGGTATAGTTGTTTAACAAGTGATATACAGAGATTCCGGCTGTTACTGCTAATAGGTCATGGGAAATGGGCCTGTACAGGAATAAAGGATTTCTTTTTTGATTTGGACAACATACAATATAGTAGTAAATAGTGATGGCACCTCAATTAATTTTTAACCAAAACCACCGGATGTCCTGTCCTTATGACTTGAGACACTAACTGATTTTCAATATGCAGTATTTAGCAGATAGAAAGTGACATCCTTGGCAAGTCTGACCTCGCTCACCTCTGCAGGCAGTGACATCCCAGGCCAGGCCTCACTGGTCTTCGATGTTGTTCTCCTGGACCTTCATAACCCCAAGGATGGCATCATGGTGCAGCCCCAAGTGGTACCTGAGACGTGCCCTCGCAAGAGTCAAGAGGGCGACTATATGAGGTACCACTACAATGGCACCCTGTTGGACGGTACCTTCTTTGACTCCAGGTGAGTTCATTCTTACTGCTCCTCTGTTACTGGCAAATTGGAACTAGAACTAACTTTTTTTTTCCTGGCGCGCTTTGACCCCAAATCTTGCTCTCATCTGTATATGTCTGTGTGTTTTGTGGAGAGCAAGCAGGAATATGCATAAAACTACCCAGATTGCCCATGAATAAAGTATCACCATTGCTATTAAAGTTGCAAAAAGTGACTGAGAAAGGCTTTTAGAGGCCGGGAGGCGGGGTTACTATGATCAAGAAACTTGTGCGTATGGACCTTGTGTCTGTGTGTTTTGCTGCATGTGTCCATTGATGTAACCTGTCGTTAGTCTTGTTCATGCCTGCTTTACTTCTTTGATTGTTGTTCCTTTTCTAAAGAAGAACAAAACAACCTACTAGGAGTCTACAGAAACTAACAACAAAAAGTTAAAGGTTGTCTTTGGCTGAACACATGGAATGAAATGCCGATGCAGGGTGTGCGTCTAAGTGTGAATTCTCAAACGGCTATAAAATCAACTGCAGTCTGTGTAATCAGCCAAAAAATGTCATATTAATAGATTAGCAACATCATAAATATATTAAAAAGTTACAGTGGCTAAACTACATTTTGTAACTGTGCAAATAGCTACTCCCGGAACAGCACCTATAACACATACATTGGGAAAGGCTACGTGATCGCAGGCATGGATGAGGGCCTACTGGGTGTGTGCATTGGGGAGAGGAGGCGAATTACCATCCCACCACATCTGGCCTATGGCGAAGAGGGAACAGGTGAGCTATAAGGGGAGGGGGTAGGGGACGGAATTCTGGGGTGGGTGTTAAAAATGGGCCAGAAGAACATGGTCTACACCATAAGCCATGGGTTGAGAGTGACAATGGGTATTGAGCGCAACATCCCTCATGTAATTCACAAACCTAAACAAAGAAATACAGTACATTCACAAGTGTAAGTTTTCGCTTAATTTATGTGTTTCTTTAATTTAGAGACATTTACATATTTGAACTTAAGTGACACTTTTGTCTATAGTGATGTATGTGAGGTAAACAGTTGTCCAAGAGTCAACTAGGCTGCGTGCAGTTAGGCTGAGCTTCCAATAAAAGCCAAGTTACAAGTGTATGCAGTAAGCTATACAAGAGCTATACAACACCTTTCAAACAGCGAGACAACTGTTCAGATCAACAGACAATAGCAGTGAGATGTACCAGCTAAGGTTCTATTCGATCGTACTTTGCTGGTTGGGGATTTGAACCAGCAACTTTTCAATCGCAAGTGTGCTACTCTAACCATTAGGCCACCACTGGCCCATAGCTTAAATTGTACAAGTGAGTTTTTAGGTTTGCCTTTGCGAAGGCGTTTGCTGGTAGACTAGTCCATTACTTTGGGGCCCTGCTCTGCAACCAAATGAAGATCCAGGCGCATATGATACATAAGTATATAGTCACCTAGTTTCAACGCATGATTTAAGGTACACCTTACCCTCAACTTTACGATCGAACTTGTGCTCACTCACTCCAGAAGTACAACACTAGGAGCATTCAGGGAACATAGAGTGGTGGAGATGTGTTTGAGACATCTTTCATTGGTGCTTAGTGATTTGCCTTCCCAAAGTCTGAATGATTGCTCTGCTTGTCCCTCAGGCACCAGTATTCCTGGTTCAGCAGTGCTGGTGTTTGACATCCTTGTGGTGGACTTCCACAACCCCTCAGATACAGTGCAGATCAATACCAGTTTCAGGCCCAAGGTCTGTGATACACGTAGCAAGAAGGGCGACTTTGTCAAGTACCACTACAATGCCAGCCTGATGGACGGCACCTTCATCGACTCCACGTAAGTATGGGCCACCCACAGTATGAGGGCCCAGCATTAGCTAGCCTTGCATGTGCTTTTGTTTCTAACTGCATTTTCCTACAGGTATCGCTATGGGAAGACTTACAACATAGTCCTGGGTGCAGGGCAAGTAGTGCTGGGGATGGAGATGGGCCTGCAGGACATGTGTGTGGGTGAGAAACGCACACTGATCATCCCACCTCATCTGGCCTATGGCGAGAGGGGAGTCGGTGAGTGTCCGCTAGAAATGGGCTGTGGTTTTGAAGTAGTTAGGAGCCTGATATGGTAAATGGACTGCATTTATATAGCGATTTTTACCAAAGTGCTTTACAATGTACGCCTCATATTCACCCATTCACACCACACATTCACACACCGGTGGCGGAGGCTGCCATGCAAGGTGCCAACCAGCTCACCGGGAGCAATTTGGGGTTCAGTGTCTTGCTCAAGGACACTTCGATGGGGTCAGGAGGACCCGGGGCTCGAACCTGCAACCCTCCGGTTGCCGAACGGTAGCACTACCTCCTGCACCACCATCGCCCCTATGTCAGCATTTGACAGAGTGTCGTCTGCTTATGTGAGCAGATGGGGAGGTCCCAGGCAGCGCTGTGCTGGCGTTCGACATCGAGCTGATTGACATGGAAGAGGGGCTTCCCGATGGCTACATGTTTGTGTGGAAGGAGAACGTCTCCCCCAGTCTTTTTGCAGAGATGGATAAGAATAAGGATGCTATAGTGGAAGCCACAGAGGTAGGTGTCCTGATCCTCCTGGGCAAACTTTGTGCATTAAATTATTGTTTCTCAACCCAGTCTTCAGGGACACACAGACACCCCACATTTCTGCTCCCTCCGAAGTCCCCGCACACCTGAGCCAGGTGTTCAGTGTTCTTGATTGTGTGGTACAGGTGTGCGGGAGCTGGAAAGGAGCAAAAATGTGGACTGTCTGGGGAATACTGTATTAAACAGGAGTGCTTATACACCCTCTCATCTGAAGACAAAACTCCAGAGACTAACCCTAAAAAAGAAACCTTCATGTGCCTATTACTCTGCATCATAGAGACACAGGTACCATTTGGGTGCCGCAAACCCTGATCACCCTTTTCCTGTCCACCTCTCTGCTAGGGGGGAATAGGCGGTTACCGCCCAAATCCATATTATATTGATTATGTTTGCCGATTTCATATGTATTGCAATATTTAAACAGATTTTGCTGAAGAGCATTTCAGGTCTACATTAAAAGTGAAGATGGCAGATGTAACAGTACATGCATTTCTTGTTTGCCTTTTGGAATGCGGAATGAAAAGAATTAATATACTTCTAGACATAGATAAAACCCTAAATTCACATGTAAATATTCATCATGAAAACATTATGCCTAACCAGCTTTGAGTTGGTTACAGCTAGTGTTAGAGAGCTCAAAGGCACATCACTGAAATCAGTAGTTTGGGAACATTTTGGTTTCCCAATATATTATGCCAACACCAGAAAAAGAGTATTTGAACTAAGACTAAGAATGTCTGTCAGTTCTGTTCTACTGAATGTTATACTGGAAACACATTCATCATGCTAACTCATCTTTGACTAGATCATCATCCGAGTGTGCGCTTTTGCCAGGAAATTCAGACTGGGTTAATAAAAAAGAACGAATGCTAAGTTCACAGTACAGACGCTCCCCTACTTACGAATGAGTTACGTTCCGAACGGCCGTTCGTAACTTGAAATGTCCGTAAGTTGTTATTCATCATCATTTTAAGGGTTATACGCAAGTACAAAGCACTAGGATGCTGGGAGTACGCACGCTACGCTGCTGTGCGTTGGGAGTAGCGGCCAGAAGTTTGTACTACTCAGAATTGGCGCGCAGAAAAAAAAATTGATGTTGCGGACAGAAAACGGTAACTTGATTAACGCAGTTTGGACTTACAGTCCTCTTTGTTTATATGTCTGAAAGTTCATAAGTAGAGGAGCATCTGTACCTGATTTTACCCCCAAATTTCCACTTGCCAAAAGTTTTTGGCAATCAGTACAAAAGCCCCAGATCTGAGGTAAATCGGTGTTGGTCTGGTGCTGGCACACCGGCATGCGTTCACTGTTACATCAAAGACGTGGCCGGACAGAGTCGCTGACGCGTCACAGACACCCATTAGATATCTTGCAGGATAAATATCTGGACCTGTTTGCAACTCCAAATCCTGTAGTGCGACTGCCAATGAGTGTTGGCGACGTGATAAGAAACTGTTCGTAGTATAGAGATATTCAACAAAAGTTTACCTTTAAAAACTTGCGGCTAGTTGTGGATTTAAATTGAGATGGTGCAGGAAGTCTCTGCACCGCTAACACATTCATGACAGCACCATGCAAATCTCGCGCATGTCAGTCCCATAACAAACCAGGCTGTGTGCAATTGGGCAAATATATTAGCGGTACCAAATGTGAATAACATAATTTCAGTAATGCATGCTTAAATTGAAATTGTTATTTTTTTAAATGTATTTATTATTATTATTTTTAACTCGCACGGTGAGATTAGAGTCGTAATCTTGACGAATCGCAATTTGTAACATAATCCATGTGCCCTCCACCCACCCCCACTCTCTTTGCAGTTCTCGGACTACATCCTGCAGCAGGTGAATGAGGGTAAAGGTCGACTTGCCCCTGGCTTCGACCCGCACAGGATCATCGAGAACATGTTCACCAACCAGGACCGCGATGGCGATGGCAAAATTACGGAGAATGAGTTCAAACTGAAGGCCGATGAGCTACAAGAGCATGATGAACTTTAGGCAGCGACCAGGGTCCTGAAGCCACCGTTTTTATTAGCCACAGCCATGCTGAGAATGTTCCATCCTTCCCGGATGCACAGGTAACACAGGACGCTGAACGGACAGTACAAAGAATGTTTTTAGTTTCAGTCAATTTTTAAAAACTTTTTCTTTTGTCCCCCCCCCCAGTTTTACGTATGTAAATAGGATCTTTTTGTATTTTTCTGTTGAGGTTGATATTTTTGCGGATACCTTGCTGGACTATGAACTAAGCATAACATTCTGGAACATTCAAAGGCACATTACCATGGTTAAATTGTCAAAGCAGCCCCCCAGACTTTAGCCCGGGTAAGCCTGTGCATTAAAGCACCCCTAGGAATATTTCAAGATTAGTGTGATTTGGCTGACAATCTGACATGCGGAGCCAGTTTGAATAGTTTGTTTAAAAAATATTGACTAGACCAGGAGTGTCAATCTCCAGTCCTGGGGGGGCCGGAGCCCTGCACAGTTTTTGGTTTACCCTCATTTAACACGCCTGATTCAATTCCTTGTGCTAATTACCACACAGCTCTTGAGCTGAGTCATTTGTGGTGGAACAGGGAAAGAACTAAGATACACTGGGTTCCGGCCCCCCAGGACTGCAGTTTGACCCCCCTGGACTAGACAATTACCTAGGGGCTACTTAAGGTGATTCTTTTAAGTTGTGAGTTTGCAAGTGCGATTACAAGTGTGTGTGTGTTCATTTTGGTGGTGGGGGGGTTGCCTTCATGGCTTTAAGTTTAATTCTTTTATACATTGTTTGTCCTTTCCATCTGTGGAAGTTTAAAGGACAAAAGGAATTCAAAATAGACACTCTGTAACCGGAGATGATTTCTTTATTGAATTTCTCATGCAGGAGGTCCCCCAGACAAAGTCACCATGCTTCATACACGTGGGGAGTGGGTAGGTCCCCCAGACAAAGTCACCATGCTTCGTACACGTGCGGAGTGGGTAGGTCCCCCAGACAAAGTCACCATGCTTCGTACACGTGGGGAGTGGGTAGGTTGTTATGCAACCCGTCACTCATTTTTCTCCTAAGTCATGTCACTAAATCTGTTTTCAGTCCTCAATCTCTAAAAAGTTGTTTCCAGCGCTAATATGATGTTTATGTGATTCTTATAAAAACCGAATTACAGGAAATGTTTCTATATTTGCATAACAGGAAAAAATAGGAGCCATCTGCTGACTCCTGGATCACCATAAGCTCCAAGGGCAGACACTCTTGTTCTCTCCCCTCCACACACACTGCAGATTCCTGTGAGGGCAGCGCGACCCTTTTGGCTAAATAGTCAAGTCATGTTACTTATTTGTATAGCGCATTTAAAAATAGCAGGGGTTGGACCCAAAGTGCTTTCCAGTTGATGGCAAAATGGATTAACAAGTATTACATAGATAGTAATATGTAAGAACAACAACATGAAAACATGTATACGAAAAATAAGATTTAGATTTAAAAAATTAATGAAATGTAATACAACAAAGAGGAAAAAAACGTAAAAGGACAATTAAAAATTTGTATTATTAACGTGAATTAAAAGTAAATTAAGAGTGGACTTGATAAAATGACATCAATAGTACAGCAGGACTTTATGTTGGATGGGAGACTGTTCCAGTCTTGGGGGTGGGGGGGGGGGGGGGTTACAGAGAGAGCCTGGTCACCTTTGGTTTTGAGAGGTGAGTGGAGGACTCAGAGAAATTGTGATGACCTAAGTGGCTGGGGGACAGTATATGGAATTAGCAGGTCGGAAATGTATCATGGGGCTAAAGCATTGATCACTTTAAAAACAAACGGCAAAATTTTTAAATCAGTTCTGTATTTCACAGGTAACCAATGCAAGTGAGCTTGAATAGGAGTGATACTCGCTAAATGCTCTAGTATATTGTCCCAATAGGTAAGAGATTACATGGTAGATCCAAAAAAAGTTACTGAGTAAAACGATATAAAAGCAGTTCCTTTAATAAATGCATAATTGAATATTGGTATGAATATTGTTCCCCACCCCACAGGACCAGGGACATATGCTTTTTACTGGTTAATATGTTCTCTGATGCTGATGGGCAGTTTCCAGTTGTTCCCATCTCTTGGTACATCCACAATGTTCTTTCCCCCAGCAAGCTGCTCCTGCAGCTTTCCCCAGTTCCTGACTGGGCAGGGACATTCACAAATACACATATCGACAAGCCAAGGCCTGACCACAGTCCCATCATGCACTTCTTCTCCAGCAGGCCTTCTTTCCTGGTCTCCAGTTTTTCTACCACACAACACCTCCGACTATTGGTTTCAAAAACCAGTTGTGACTTAGCCAAATCAAGGTTGATTCAAGACTTTTACTGAGGCTAAGGGCAGTGAAAGAGTAGAGTCTCCACAACAATGCTGCTGTGTACTCAGTCACCTGGAGCGCATGATTTACGGGTGAAAGATATGCTGCGTGAGTCTGGTGTACTGAATATCAGTATATGGACTGAAAAACAGTGTTCTTATATAGAAGTAAATTATATGAGTTGACTTACCCATTTTTTACCAGTGTGTATGTGGTTTTAATAAATAAATGATTGTGGCTCTGAATTATTTGTATCATATCTAATATTGTCTGAAACATTTTCTGACCCTTCATTTATGTGATGCCCTTATATGTTTGGATACAGCAGATGTATTTGGCATTGTGGATTAAATTGAACAAATGAGCTACACATTACACAATGGTGTTGCAGGCCCCGCTCTGGAACATGACACCCCCTGCAGAGGTAATGCTCTATGTATTGATAATCAGGAGGCTGTAGGCTTACCCCTGGGGAGTCATCCCGTCAGAGGAAACCGAATATCAACTTGTTTCAGGAGGTAGTGGCACAAGCAGGAACACCATGTACCAGGACCATGTCTAACAATCCAGTTAGTATGTGTGCTATGCACCAGATTACTAGTGTCAATATTATTAGCACAATGGAGAATACTAGAAAACCAAGAAAGATGCATCATTGCTTCATTCAAGTCTTCAGTTTATTGAATAATCATGAGGTGTCTTGAAAGCCATGCAGGGCTTTATGAGGCCATCGATCTTCCAGCTGCTCATCTGGGTTACGGGATACTTTTATTATGTTTATTAGTGCATTATAGAGAAGAACCTCATAGAGCATTCATAATGCAAAATAAGCATGGCTATAATGTGTTATGCTTTTTTATAAATAGCTATAGCCATGTTTATAATACTTTATGAATGCTTTATAATGCAGTATGAATGTATAATGCATTATACATGGGTGCTTTTGTCGTGGAAATTTCACTGAGTTGATTGTTTAAGAGTCTGACAAACTTTATTGTACCGCACTCAGGCACTCGGCAGTCTCTCATGCGTTTTGCGCTCTGTTCCTTGAACAAGTGCATACATCCTTTATAGCCAAAATGCACCAGTTTACAGACAGTTCAAGGAGGGGTCGGATATCTTTGGACACCAGCTACTTCTGCTTAATGGGGTCCACTATCAGTTCAAGGCAGGGTCGACCTATTTATGATCATCCAGGTGGTTTCATTACCTTATTTAAACAAGTTGAGTTCAACCAATTTCTTCATCTCATTTCCCCATATGTTCCTTGTATGTTTCCACGTATCCTTGACCAATAACATACATACATTTCTCATATTGGTTTCCGCATACCAACACATGTTAGTTCCTTACAAAATGCTTCTTATCTAAAAATGAAAACCTATTACTTAAGCAAGCTTGCATTATTGCATTATATGTTTAGTATATTAAATGTCTCAAAGCAGAATTTAATCGTTGTAATTGTAGTTGAATCAACAGTTATGAGTTTCATTATTAATTACTGATTGAATTTGCATTGAATTTACATAACTAAAGTGTTACTGTGACTTTTAAAGTTAAAAGGTACAAATTAAGTACTTGATCAGTATTATCCCTGTTAATCTGTTAATCTTCCATGTGCATAACCTATAACCAGAATACTCTAACCATCTTATTACTTTATGTGCATATTAATCTAATTACACAAAGTTTTTGTGACAAGCAGGAATGTAAGAAAGGAAGATAATGTCGTCAAGGACATGAGTCTGGCTGGTCTAGCAACTGGCTGAGTGTGAGACTGATAAGGGCCGTCTAGCGGGGCATCTGTGAGGAAACAAGTGCTGCCGTGTACCTCCTAGTTAGGAGTAATCTCAGCGCGAGTCCTTGAGCCACCTTCTGCAAAAAAAAATCTAGGGTATAAGAAGCCGGAGAAAATAAATATCCGGGAACTGGGGAAAAAATGTTGGTTAGTGTGTGACCTTCTCTTAATGATGATCAATACAAAACTCATCAAGAAATATTAAATCATATTAGGAATCTTATTCTGATTCCATGTCTAAGTTTTGTGGACCACTGAATTTGGGGGCTCGTCTGAGATGGAAAGATTCTGCTGATTGTGGGACCCATAAAAACCTCCAGACCCGGCAGAGGACGACAATCATCTGGAGGTCTGAGCCAAAGTTAGAACACTCCACTCTGGGTCTGATATGGTTCTGAACCAAGAAATTTTGAAGTGAGAAGTGAAACGGGGGGTGAGGTAGGAGAACATTTCTGTACTATGATGAAAGGGGGTTTGAGTTCGTGCCTGTTTCCATGCAGAGTCCTGCTACAGTCAGGTTCATGTTCTTTAATTTGTCACTACTCTTTCCTATGGACTGCAATTGCATCAGCTGTAATGGACACTATGGTCAGTGATGACCCATAGTAGCAGAAATCGTATGCCAATGCATCATACACAACCTATATGTCCCGGACTCCAGTTGGTTGGTAATGAAACTGACTACTCGTTCAGGCTCACTATAATTTCTCCGACGGTATAGCTGCAAATTTCTGAGCCTCCTTCTCAAATGACGAACACTAATATGACAATTTTCTAGCACTCGAATTTTTCCCCACAGTTTGAAGTCTAACTTGTTTTTTTACAAACAATTGCAATATAACCACTTATGATATTGGTGCAATATACTTTTACTTTACTGTGCAATATACACTTTTACTTTTCCTGTAACTTTTGGACAAAGGTACTTAGATTCCTGTACAGAGATTTTCTATCTTATTTTATTTATTAGAATGTTTAACATTGCGGTAATTTGTTTTATATTTCATTCCTATTTTTATACTTGTATTGTTCTTGTCTTCGTGTTTATATATGTGATTGTGCAGTCGCAATGTGAGCAATTAATAAAGTCTTCTCATTATGATTATGATTCCGATTGGGACAGTCCACGATCAAAGTAAAATCTGATGCATTCGTCCATGAGAATAATACTAAACCTCGAGATCATGGGAAAGTGACATGGGTTATGTCGAGATCACAAGAAAAAATAAGTCGTGATCTCGAGATAGCGAAAAGGAAAAAAAGTTGATACATGTCCTCTACAGAAATCCGTGGGGGGGAAGAGACCGTTTTTTCATCTAATTTAAATTTGAATTTGAAATGCGGCCACGTGACGACAGTACTACAGCAAACGTTCGCAGTTCTGGTTTTCTTTCACCAAACTGGTATTCACTCCAGATTCCATATACATCAGCTTTGATCATAGGACATAAACTTCAATTGGACTCGTTTGGACCAAATCAGAGGTAATTTTTTACAGTCTGATTTATAGATAGTTAATCCAGTTGATTTATGTTTTAGGAATTTAAGAAGACGATAGCAGCCATTGAAACTGGATTGATTAATCCTGACCTGCCTTAGCCATCATTAACAGATGTCTGTAATTTCACCAGACATTTGAGGCATTATAATATCAACTACTTTCGGGCTCCATGTGTGCGTAGATAATTCAGTTCTACATCAGTGGGAGTGCTGTGAGAGAACGGCAGATTAGTCCAATTAGGGAGATGATTAGTCCGTCAGGTGTGTAGGATAAACTGAAGCAGGCACAGCTGGTCTGAATGAGGGTAAAGAGACTGAACATGACGCTGCTCATAATCCACTGTGTACAAGATTCTCATCGTGTGATTAGTTTAATGAAACAGAAAAGACTTATATGTTGAATCTATCATCGGAGTAAGGTGGCTAGCTAAAACACGGTAATCTAGTTGGTCGCCTACATGAGTATTGTGCGAACAAGCTTAAAAGAAGTTCAGTGGAAGAAACATCCGTTATGATAAATGGTTTCTCGGCTACAGGTATGTATGAATATACTTAAGCTATATATTCCTTTTGGTTTTCCTGTCAGCCAGTACGGGACCATGCAAATGTGTAAGCTTAATCCTGCTCTTCAGTTTTCTTTAAATGGGAATAGTTTATCTCTAGGGACACGTGTCCAGGACCAGAGAGCAGTGATGGGCGGTAGCGCCGCTTCATGTGCGACCTTCTACTCTGCTTCTACTGCCTATCGAAACACGCATGCGTATGGCAGCGCCATGAGCTCGATACTTCAGTTTCAATTTCTGCCCTGAATGCACTGCGGCTGTCTGTGTAAGCGATGCTGCTCTCCATTTCCGCTCCCGGCTGTCACGTGACTAGGCAGCGCCAGGCAAACAAATACGCTCATATTACAGGTGGCTTTGTTCTACTTTCCATATAATCTACTGTTACACCATGAGGGGTTAATTATACAATAAGCCAAATACTAATTTACTAATTTCTAAACAGTGTCTAATATAATGCAGACACTAGAAATAGGAACTGATACTAGGCCTGCAGGATGGGGTGACCTCACTCCATGCAGTTGGGAGAAATCAGGAACTCGTAGCAAGAGAACAGGTCAAGATGACCTCGTACCAGACACCAGGAAGACGGGAACCCATCAGATAACCAATGCTTCTTTTAACTTTTGCACAACATAAAGGGGGGGGACATGTACTCACTGGCTAACTAGAGCAAATGTCGAAATATGTTGTAGTCACGTAGATGGGAAAAGTACAGAAAAGGGGGGCCATACCCCAAAAGGCCTATAAAGACCCAGAGCCGACACCTAGGGTTCGAGCTTCTTACTGTACATGCTGAATGTATGTCAGATGGTTGCTCCCTGATTGCAATCTGAATAGAGAATAAACTGGTGACTTGCACCTACTCCTCTACTGTGCTGTGAATCTCTTCTCATCAACGGACCCGGCGGAGTTCGACTCCAACCATGTTCTTGGGGTGTGGTCTGATGATGTCCTGGTAATGTTTCTTACACTTGTTTTGTTATTGGTGGTTTCGCAGGGATGTGTGTCTTTTAAATGGGAACTGTACAAGGTCTGTAGCACATTGAGGAAGGCAACTCGCCAAAATGCATCTGTGTTGTGTGCTGACTTAGAATAAATCTGTGTTGAAGCAAAGTGCAACCTTTTTTATTTATTTTTTATTTTTTAACTTGACCGATTTTTCTTTTTAGGTCCAGCACTCTGACAACTATACAACTAAGAGTGAAGCCTGTTCTACTGTGTCAGATTAATAACCAAAAACCAGCCAGGTAGAGGGCAAACGCAACTTACTAATGCCAGAGATATCTGTCAGTGCCTCAAATCAGAGGATGACCACAAGTGACCTTCAAAAAGAATGGGAGACAGTAATTAGTATGAAGTGCACCAATAGGACACTAGCACAAGTCCTGTAAAAGCAAGAAGAAGCCCTTCATCACGTAGCACGTAGCCATACATTGAGAAATGGGTAAAACTGAGATTTTCTGCTGTAGTCTCTTAATTTTTTTCCAGAGCTGTATAGTGTGGAAGAAAAATCAATATTATGCAAATCATGTATATCAATGCAATAAGTAATGAAACTTACCATTTGTTATAACTGTTAATTGTAATTATATATGATTATATAATTACCACTTTGATTTGTAGCAGAAAAATGGCATGTTGCATTTATTCTGTTAAACAGTAATATTAGCTTGCAGTTGGAAGGAAAAGGGGGCTTTCGGCATAAGAGGAACTAATATATATTTTTGATAGCTTGTTGTGCAAGAGGACCGGATCAAGGTACAGACCTGACCCGAGAAGTAAGGCTATTGCAAAAGAATAAGGCAGGAATATGGGGAAGTAAAATGCAGAACTTGTTTATGAGATTGACCCTGTCTTTAATTGATAAGGGCGCAGGATAATGATCATGGAAAGAACCAAACTTGTGTTGACCTGATGAACGTGTTCCATCACAATTGTAACTAATGCCCATAGGGTCAAACCCCCCTCCCTGTTCTCCTCTTCAGCTGACTTCATCAGCTGACTGCAAGCTGTTGCAATTTCTTGGTTATAAAAGTTGTAAGCACCTGTTGTTTGGGGAACAGGTCACAAGATGCATGAAACATTGCTGAGTGTCTGTTCCCCAAAACTTTGGCAAAGGAAATGAGTTTGAGTCTGACAACTTTATCGACTTTCTTTTCGCAATACATACAAAAATTACTAGGGGGAACTGGAGTTGCTGAATTGTAGGTGTGAAGGGGCTGTGTGTGCCCTGTGTTGGGTTCGTGCCCTGTCCTTTATTTCTGGCCTTGTGCCAGTATCTTCCCCCATGGGCTGCATAGGTCGACCTGGATATAGAGATGGATGGTTGCATGTTCTGAAAATGTCTTGGTGTTGAACTTTTGAGATGTATCTGTGGCTCATCCTCTTCCAGCCATGCAGCCAGGGATCATAGCAAAGACTCGAGGACTACAAGCACCAGGGATCATGGCAAAGACGCAAGGACTACAAGCACCTGATCCAGATTCTAAAGGTACAGATGCTAGAAATGGTCAGAGTGGCCACAGCTCTTTTGCTGATCTATTTCTGAAAATGTAAGGGTGTGAATGTAAAAAATGAATTTCAACAGCTTTCTCAACAATTGAGACTAGTGTCTGTCTTCGGTAGCAGAAAAAGAAATCCCCACCCAGGCATACAAGACCATGTGGAACCACCTTAACAGCAAATTGAGAAGACAACCAGTCATAGGTCAGTTTTCAGATTCCATTCTTCAATGTATTTTGTACTATAAAGTTTCACTGCAATAGAATGTGTCTGTGTGAGTGTTTTAGGGCTGTCATTTTTTCAAAAATTTAAGTAATGACACACAATTCCTTAGATTCAAATACGTGTGATTTGTGACCTGTGCCCCCCCCCCCCATTCTCTTCAGTATTATATTAACAGTCCATTCAGCATCACATTTGCATGGAGCCCCTAAGAAGTTAGCATGGGAAAATTAATTTTTGAAATGGTTTGTTCCCTCGATACTTCTGCATTACGAATAATGACTGTATTCTGTCGGTTTAAAGGACAAAAGATGGAATTAACAGACTAGAGTATGAACCTAAAATGACACAAACACATCCAGTTAGGTTTGCTTTAAGCATTAAACTATAGCGGACAGTGCACACCATGTAACTTCCATATGTGTGTTTATACACATTTAATTGCACCTCTTATATGCAGCTTTATATGCAGTTTTCCGGCTGTAATGTCTTTCAATATTTTTTTTTAATATATTTCAGTGATGCACTTCATGTTGAATAGTCCAGCTGTCTTGCTTATAGTCTCAATGTATGGACACAGCACAGTTGCTAATAAATATGTATAAAACATATAATATGAAAGTTACATGGCCAGTTCCCACATCCCATGTGGTGGCGTGTAACCTTGAAAAACTGTCATCCAAATGATGAAAAAGTGTATTTTGAGACACAACGAAAGAAACGATAAAGCATAATATGAAACATAGATGTTTTTTATTTCCATACATATTGTCACATTGCACAGCGCTCATTGGAAGGTAGCATTAGTTTCTGTAGTGCTAATATGGTGAAATAATCATGGCTTGATTCTTTGTCCTGGAGGTCTGGGGGGGATGGCTGAAGCCTAGTCCAAGCAATAGAGCAACAAATGGTGCAGGACAGAGGTAAATCCTGAACAGGACTCTAGTCTATCGCCGGGCATGTAAACAAGATTGCACCCTATGGATTATTTGGAGACCTTCTTTGGACTACAGAACGTGTGTGTACACACACACACACACACACACACACACTATATGGTCAAAAGTATTGGGACACACCTCTTAATCATCAAATTCAGTTGTTGCATTCAGACCCATTGCCACTGGTGTACAAAATCAAGCACCTAATCATGCAATCACGTTGCTCTGAGGAGCTCAGTGAATTCAAGTATGGTACTGTCATAGGATGCCACCTTTTGCAATAAGTCAATTCGTGAAATTTCTTCCCAGTTAGATATTCCACAGTGAATTGTGATTGGTATTATTGCAAAGTGGATGCATTTTAGGAACAAAGGAAACTGCTACCAAGTGGCAGATGACGTAAAGTAAGAGTTTGATGAAATGGGCTTCCATGGCCGAGTAGCTGCATGCAAGCCTCATATCACCAAGCACAATGCCATGTGAGATGCAGTGGTGTAAAGCATGCCACCACTGGACTCTGGAGCAGTGGAAACCATTCTCTGGAGTGACAAATCATGCTTCTGTCTGGTAGCCTGATGGAGGAGTCAGTTTGGTGGATGCCAGGACCTGTGTGTGCCTACCTGCATTGTGCCAACTGTAAAATTTGGTGGAGGAGGGATAATGGTATGGGGTTGTTTTTCAAGGGTTGGGCTAGGCTTCCAGTGAAGGGAACTTTTAATGCTTCTGCATACCAAAACATTTTGGACAATTCTATGCTTCCATCTTTATGGAAACAGTTTGGGGGAAAAGGCCCTTTTCTGTTCCAGCATGACTGTGCCCTTGTGCACAAAGCAAGGTCCATAAAGACATGTTTGGGTGAATTTGGTGTGGACGAACTTGATTGGCCCACACAGAGCCCTGAACTCAACCCTACTGGACACCTGTGGGATGAACTAGAACAGAAATTACCTGCCAGGCCTTCACGTTCAACATCAGTGCCCAACATCAGAGATCTCATATGAGTAGTGAATGAGTCAATGAAATCCCATGTCCTCTATGGAAAATGGCTGATCGAATGCAAGCATCTCCATTGTTTTAGTAGTTGTCTAACTCTGGTGCTGCTAACTTTGAATATTGAAATTGAAGTTTAAATATTGACCAAGACTGACACATCGTACTGATGCCTATACCGTGATTTTTTTTAAATTATTATTTTTTTTTATATAGTTATTGGCTGATTCAGATATAAGAACTATACAAACGAGAGAGGCCATTCGGCCCATCGAGCTCGCTTGGGGAGAACTTAACTAATAGCTCAGAGTTGTTAAAATCTTATCTAGCTCTCATTTAAAGGAACCCAAGGATTCAGCTTGCACTATATTATCAGGAAGACTATTCCATACTCTGACTACACGCTGTGTAAAGAAGTGCTTCCTTAAATCCAGTTTGAAATGTTCTCCCGCTAATTTCCACCTATGGCCACGAGTTCTTGTATTTGAACTAATGCTAAGTAACTATTAGGTTGAACAGCATCCAAACCTGTTAGAATCTTATAGACCTGGATCATGTCCCCCCTCAGTCTCCTTTGCTTGAGGCTGAACAGATTTAGCTCAACTAACCTTTCCTCGTATGACATTCCTGTAAGACCAGGAATCATTCTTGTGGCCCTACGCTGCACCTTTTCTAAGGCCGCAATGTCCTTTTTAAGATATGGTGACCAAACCTGATATCGAGCATTACTTTTTACTTGGCTAGCTAGTTAGCTACTTTGTGTGTAGCTAACCTAGCTAGCAAAAAGAATGGATTAAAAAGAGGTGTTTCCTAAAGGCAATGCAGTGCAAGGATCATCATTGTAGCACAAAGATCACCCTAGTGCTTCCTTTTTGAATATCAATGAGCCTTCCTCTGCTATTTTTTGTTTTGGAAATTTGCACACAGATGCTGCTGCTTTGCGTGTCAGCTGACAACACACCAGAGCATCCATTCCAGATGTAGGACTACCTCCAAGGAGGATTTAAATAAGGATGATTAAATCCATTAACTGATCCTGATACTACAGATGGATGCAGTTGAATTGCCACCTTAATAATCACTGCATCTGTACCCCCCCCCCCTCCCATGGTGATTGGTAAAAACTGTTAAATGGCAGTGCCCCATCAGAAGATTCTGGCCTGGGCAGTTTCCCATCTTGCCATTGCCAAGATCCATCCCTGGTGCTGCAGATGGATATTCTATATAAAAAAGCATCAGAGATTGTTAGCATCTTCCTAGTGGATTCCTGTTTTTTGAGTTACATTTGCTCTTACAATATGCTGCTGAAGCCATTTTGGTTAATACTTGGGCTGCACAATATTACAGCCGGCGTCCTGTCAAACGTTTCGCCCATTATCTAAAGCTTCGGTGATTATTGCGCATGTGTCATAAAATCGCGATGTTGTATTCTGCAGCCCGAGTTGATATTAATTCATTTTCCCTTGCTTAGACTTAATTAGTGCTGTACTTGTATACTCAAACATGCATTATGTAGTCATTTAAGGAAAGGTGGTTCATTTGTTGCAAGGGATTGGCTACATAACGTATGGTTTGGTGTTCTGTCACGTTTTGGCACTTCTCTCTTGTAGAATGTGAACCTAATGATGTGTATCCTCTGCAGGTCTTAGAGCTATTGTGGAGTACCATGAAGATAACCAGGCTCCCTACATGATGTGTGAGGCTTGTGCAGCACGGATACCACAAGGGTTTATTGTTGGGCACCTGATTAGCGCAGAACATCGGTACAAGTACATTGTAAGTTGCCTGGAGTTTAAGACTACTTACTCTTTCATGTGTGATATTGTCAAAGATTGCTGTTATAGGTCTGTTGTAATCTTACTTACCTTGATGATGATCTCCTTTGCTTCCCACTTTGACTGCCCTTTGTGAATTGAGTATAGGTCCAGTCCCCTAGTTAATGGATAGGAGTAGGGCTGCAACAATTTGTGTAACTCTAATAACTCGATTACAAAAAATCTTCAGTGCAAATTCTTTGCTTCAATGCTTCATTTAATCCACACGACTATGTACTGCTCGGGGTTGATTACTGTCGCAGTGTGCTTACGCTGCATTACGTGTAGCAGAATGATAGAGAAAACAGTGGCGACACTCCCATAGGGACCCATTGTTGACATCCATGGCATTGAATCACGTCCGTTTCCATTGATTACCTGGCACTAGATAAAAAATGAGTCTCTACGGACACTTCAAGTGCTTTTATATGCTTGTGAGGCAGAATAGTCAAGTTGTAATCGCTAAATATACAGAATACAATAATGCACTCAGCCTCCTCTAAACTTGCATAATTAGCCTAGAATTTGGCGAAGAAAATGCATGACAGATATTAAAAGTCCAGCTATATTTGACTTCTTTCACAAATGTTGTTCACCACAATTGTCAGTGGTGGCGCATTAAAGGACAGCCACAAAGTGACACTGCTTCAGTTATGGTGCAGTTTGTTTAAAAATGAAGTAGGCCTCACATCTATACAGTGTCCCTGTGTATTCTGGAAATGTTTAAGCTTGATTCTAATTTGATAATTTCATTTGTCAGGGGGTTATATATTATATTTTCAAAATTTAGGAAAATTGATTACTGTGATCATAGAAAAAAATATGCAATAATATCCAGATAAACTATCGTATACTTTAAAATTCTTCCTGAGAAAAGCAGTTGGTTTCATTGCTGCATCTGCTGCTTTTTCCCTATAGAAATCTCTACATCCGAAACTGATCAATGGCTGGAAGGATGACCCAGATTTCTCAGAGTATCAGGATGCTCTTGAGGAGAAGGCTAAATACCTAGAGATGAAAGAGGGGCTAGGGGACATCCAGGTAATCCACAGGTTCACTTCTTGATCTAATTTATATAACATTTGCCCAATGCATCAAGATAAAGGAAAAAGACATATTCAGAAACCCACAGCTGTTTTGTTTAATTTTGACTGACTGTAAGGCTTTGTCTAAACAAAAAGTCAGCATAAGTTTTAAATTACCCGCAAACCAGGTGAACTACGAGCACTTCAATGTAGTCATTTATGCAGCTGAAAATATTTTCTACAATACCTGCAGAATTGTGAGGTTTCATGAGGTCTGTTGAGCCTTCACTGGTTACACTGGTAATGTGACTTTGGCTTAAACTGAAATTTAGGCACGTTAACAAACAGTGTTCACCCTGGTGAACTTAGGAGTACTGTAGTAAAGTAATGTATTCTAATTCAGTGAATGTGTGTGCAGTTGCATAGAAATTGTGCCTGTTTCTGAGTGATCAGTCTTGTTGCCCCCTTTTGTTTGGAAGATAATGAAAAAAGGGAAGGCTGGTTTTGAACTAGTGGTTCTGCCGTCTTCTGGCAAATGTAAGTTTTTCACCTCACTGCTTATCCTTGGACTTTTGTACAACGTGGATTCACAACCTATTTTCAATGAATACCCCCTTCTTTATATTTCCAGACCAGATGCATGGGTGGATAGGCCCAAAAACATCTGTTAAAAATCTACCAACAAAAAGAGAGCATGAAGGTGAGTAACATAGTAACCATAAGTAACGTAAACATGCCATTTTATTAGAATGCCATTCTTCCCTGATTTTGAAGTACATTGGTGCCTTGCAACATGAACGTAATTCATTCCAGAAGGCTGGTCGAGCTGTGATTTGGTCGCGGTCCAAGTTGAATTTTCCCTTAAGAAATAATGTAAATGAATTTAGTCTGTTCCAGACCCCCAAATGATTAAACCCATCTACCTACCTAACTAATGATAAAAAGCATTAACA